CAAGCGATTCTTCCACCTCAGCCTCCCAAGTAGGTGGGACCATAGGCGCGTGCCACCACGCCCGGCTAATTTTTTTGTACTTTTAGTAGAGACGGGGTTTCACCGTGTTGGCCAGGATGGTCTCAAGGTGCTTACCTCAGGTGATTCCCCACCTCAGCCTCCCAAAGTGCTGGGATTACAGGCGTGAACCACCATGCCTGGCCCTTTGGTAAAAATTTCAACAAGAGCTAACAAGCTATCCCAAATTTTATTCACTGAAATAGTGCTCATATCTAGGAATAATATGGCTATCAAAAATAATAAAACGTGGCTGGGCGCGGTGGCTCACACCTGTAATCCCAGCACTTTGGGAGGCTGAGGCAGGCAAATCATGAGGTCAAGAAATCGAGACCATCCTGGCCAACATGGTGAAACCCCATCTCTATTAAAAGTACAACACAAATTTAGCCGGGCGTGGTGGTGCGTGCCTGTAGTCCCAGCCACTCGGGAGGCTGAGGCAGGAGAATTGTTTGAAATCGGAAAACAGAAGTTGCAGTGAGCCAGGATCACACCACTGCACTCCAGCCTGGCAACAGAACAAGACTCTGTCTCCAAGAAAAAAAAAACACACCTGAAATTTATATATCACGTTCTAAACTACGTGCCTCTCCAGGAGGGTGACTAAGATCCTTAAAGATCTAGAAAACCTGGCTGGGCACAGTGGCTCACACCTGTAATCCCAGCACTTTGGGAAGCCAAGACAGGTGGATCATGAGGTCAGGAGATGGAGACCATCCTGGCCAACATGGTGAAACCCCGCCTCTACTAACACTACAAAAATTAGCTGGGTGTGGTGGCGCACGCTGGTAATCCCAGCTACTTGGGAGGCTGAGACAGAAGAATCACTTGAACCCGTGAGGCAGAGGCTGCAGTGAGCTGAAATCACACCATTGTACTCCAACCTGGTGACAGAGCGAGACTCTGTCTCCAAAAAAAAATTCTAGAAAAAATCGTGTGTTAAGACAAATGATTGCAAAAACAGGAAATGTTTGGCCTGGAGAAGTGAACGTTAGAAGGATCACTTCGGCATCCCTGAATTATCTGAAAAACTGTCTTTGTTATCCTAGAAATGATTTAAAAAAAAAAAAGTCCAAAAACCACAGGCTGATTTCATCTCAATGTTAGGAAGCCTCTCCCTCACCCTGACCCCACACCTCCTCCAAAAATAACTAGGAACAATTTGAGCTCATGCAATTTATGAAAAGCTTAAGTTATCTGATATTTTTTTGGAGACCAAACTGGAGGACTTCTAAGGTCTCTTTCAAAGCTGAATCTGTGACTATGCTTTAACGCCAACAGCCAAAGGTAAAAGAGGACCAATGCCCACACAGCAACATTAACAATTTGTACGTGTGTTGAGTGAAGGAAAAAATAAAGTGAGGAATGAAGAGGCCACTTATCACCTACATGAACTTACGTCAAGAGAGTGACAAAGACAGAAGTCAGACAGCTAAATTAGAGTCGGGGCAAAATGGAAGCAGCAGATCCTTGTTGAATATGTTAATATGAAAACCAGCATCTTGGGCTAACGATAAAATATAAAAAGTGTTCTCCCCCTTGACAATGTTTACTGACCAAAAGCTGTCTTTATCTGAGGCTGGGCAAGGTGGCTCACATTGTAATCCCAGCACTCTGGGAGGAAAAAGCAGAGGGATTGCTTGAGCTGAGAACTTCAAGATCAGGCTGGGCAACATAGTGAGACTTAATCTGTATTAAAAAAAGAAAATGCTTTGCTTTCAAATTAAAGAAAACTGTCGAAAAGTGAAAAATAAACTTTATTATATTTAAGAGAAGTCTGTTCCTTCTAGAGCACATGCAGTAACTGTCAATTGGCCTTTAAAAAGTTCTGCCTTATATTAAATGATTTATAGGCACATCATTAGCAAATTGTCTAAAAATTTGAAGTTAGGAAGATTTTTGTGATAGATTCTGTGTCAACAGTTGTATTTTTAATAACTCTTCCAGGTGATTTTTAAACACACCACATATTTTGAGAATTGTTGTCTACAAAAAAGGTGTCAATTCAAAATGGACACTGATCTTGCAGTTTCCTGTCTAGAAAGCCCAGATCCTTAATACAGCAGACACCTGTTGTTGAGGTTTCAGCTCAGGTGTCACCTTCTGGGAGGTGCCCTCTCACTCCAACACATGAAACTTGTTTTTTCAGAGAAAACTCCTCTCTGCCCTCATACCTAAAATTATTTTTTTGGGTATCATCTCCACCCCATCTGGAATGCCAGCATCCCAGGCATCAAATGTCTATTTGACCATCGTTTACATCCCTAGTCCCCAGAACTAGCCCTGGCACAAAGTGATTGTCAATGAGTACTCAATTAATAAAACCAACAGTCAATGATTAGAGTTGGGATTTCAATCCAGCAGCGAATGCCTTGAAGTTCTTCACACAACACCCAATAGATGTATTTTTTCCAACTTCAGTTTGTCAAATGTAATTAAGTGCTTAGAATCTAAGAGAAGGGAGAAAAATAAGGCAGAGCAGTCTGAAAGTCACCTGCAAGCCTCTTAGAAAGGCAGAATCCCAGGCCCCACTCCTGACCTCCCAGTCAGAATCTGTGTTTCAACAAGACCCCTAGGTGACTCATACCACAGCCAAGACTGGAATTACTGGGTTACAGAACAGCAACAAGCCTAGAGGTTAAAACAAAAAGCCTAATAGAAATCTGCATGGTCTGTTTATTCTCTTATTTCTATAAATAATTTGATGAAAAAAGTCTATTAATATTCCAATCAAGTAAGCTTCAAAACGCAACTGAAGAAAACTTCCCTCTGGGAGGTTCCTGGGAAGGTGAAAGATATTACATCGGTTCATTTATGTGGTTAAAAGTAATCTATTATTTTGAAAAGGCAGTAATTCCAACACTACCTTTAGAAGAAAACAAGAATTTTACCTTGACATCAAGCAAAATGTGGGAAATCTTTTATCAGGCGATAGGTACCAGTCAATGGAGAAAAATCCCCCAAATCTGGCTGCGGAATATCAAGGACCGCTGCTTCTGATATTCCTTCCCTGATTAGCTGAAGCAGTTTGCAAGCAAGCCCACCTGCAACGTTTCCCCCACAGCGTAAAAGTGGAGTTCTGCTAAGACCTGCCTTTTACAGGTGTTGGGATGACTAAATGACAAAATACAGAATGCTTTTAGCATAGTGCCTCACGTGCAGGAGGCACTACCCATTACTTCCTGAAATGACCTGGAAGCTGCCGAAAGGTGGAGAACCTGTCTTACCAACCTCCCTATCCTCCTCTCCATCACAACAAAGGAGCCCTAATAACTAAATAAATTGCAAAACGAAAAAAAAAAAAAAAAAAAAGCGTTGCTTTGTCTAAGGAAATATCTGTGCCTTCTCCCGCCCCTTAAGATGTCTATTTTAAAGCACCACTAAGAAAATATTCAGAAAGGCCGGGCGTGGTGGCCCGCGCCTGTAATCCCAGCACTTTGGGAGGCCGAGACGGGGAATCACCTGAGGTAAGCAGTTCGAGACCAGCGTGACCAACAGGGAGAAACCCCGTCTCTACTAAAAATACAAAAATTAGCCGTGCGTTGCAGCAGGTGTCTGTAGTTCCAGCTACTCTGTAGGCTGAACAGAAGAACCGCTTGAACCCGGGAAGGCAGAGGTTGCAGTGAGCCAAGATTGCGCTACCGAACTCCAGCCTGGGCGACAGAGCGAGACTTCGTCACACACACACACACACACACACACACACACACACAAAAACCAACTCATATGTACAGTGCAAAAGAACTATTGTTACACTTGGGAATGCCTAGTTTTCTATCACAGCAGGAATCACCCTAAGTGCATTCCTGGGAAGCGTTTCTCTTTTCCAGGGATCCCAATAATACACCTGTTGTCTCAGGACCACACACTAATCTGCCTGGAAAGCCGCTGCCTCCTCGCCGGCGATAATTTCCCAAGCGGGAAGTGTGGCCAGCGAGCTCCGGGTCCGGCCTGAGGATGCCGCGGTTCTTCCTTGGGCGGGGTGGCTTCACCGGGAGCGCCAGAGGCTCGGCGCCGCTCCCAAACCCTAGGCGCAGAGGCCATCTTGGCCCTCGACCCCCACTTCCCGCAGGGTTCCTCCGACGCAGGCAACATGGCTGGCGCGCGGGGTCGCTTCTGCCCCGGAGGTCCCCAAACTCCGTGGCCCGGCGGGGCACGGATCCCGACGCCCGTGCGTCCCGCGGCGCACCTGGGCAGCGCGCGCCCGCGTTCGCCCGGCAGGCACCGCCCGTAGGCAGTTCCGCCCCCCTGACGGCAGCCTTTTGGTCACGGGTGAGAATCCGAAGCTTGAGCAGCTTCCCTAGAAGTCCAGCCTCACTCGAAATTAACTCCCCGCCCCCCAGCTTAAATCGACGCGGGTTCACACAACTCCCAACAAGTGGATTCGAAGTAGCCAGTGTGGCCCACACTGTCACTCCCGGAATATTTCACAGATTGAATCCAGCACCCCTCTTCCCAGGATACCCAAAGGGGTGAGGTAGGGTGGGGGCAGAAGGGATGAAATTCCCCACTAGGATCTAAGTCGCCGGGGCCAGCAAACAGCCCCCAGCTGCAGCCTCCGGCTTGGTACCCCCTCTGCATGAGGGCCGCCCCGGCAAAACGGCAGTCCCTGAGCTGATGCAGGAATGTCCTGCCCCAGAAAAGTGAAAAGTTGCCCGCGCTGCCGGGGCACTGCCAGCTTTAAGCGTTTCCGAGGAATAAAGTTTGATCGGCGGCTTCAAGCCGCACCTCTCCCGGGGAGGCGGCCTCACAAGTTGGTCGGCACTGCTCTCTCGGCAGATCCGCGCCTCTCCGGTTCCCACGAGCCCCAGCCCGGGGACGAAACTGCCACCGAAACCAGCGCGGGGCGTTCTCCCCCGCCCGTCCCCTAAGAGAGGCGCCGCGGTCCCCCCACGGGGACCCTCGGACTCCCGTGCGCCCCCGGCACCGCGCCCAACACTCACCCACTGGCCGCAGCTGGGCCAGACCCACCGGGGGCCGCCGGAGCCAGGGAGCGCGCTCACCTGGCGGCTGCACCTGACGCCGCGCCGACCGCCAGCGCACAGCCGGGGACAGGGCTGGGGACGTCTCAGCTCTCCTCCCGCCCCTCCCCCCATTCGTCTCCCTCCTCCCTACACCCGGCCCTGCCCCCGGGCATGCGCACCAACGTGGAGGGGGTGCGGGAGGCCCGCGGGCGCGCGCCTGCGAGTCCCACCTGCTACGTCCCGGACGGGCTCCTGGGCGCTCTGGCCCTCGCTCGTGGTTCCAGCCGCCTCCGCCGAAGGAAGCGGGGAAGGAGAGGTGGGCGCGGGAGTGAAGATGTGGTGTGTCGGACTCCTCCCTCGGTGACCCATTCACCTGAAACTCGGATGGGAGGGGGCGGGAGGACGCAGCCCTGCTCCCCACACCCTGCCAGCGCGCTGTTAAAGGAACCGCGCAGCGTTCCGGCCCGAGGGGCGGGGCGCGGAGGAGAGGCGCGCGCTCCCAGGGGCAGCACGGGTGGGGGTCTCTGACCACCTCGGGGCGCTCTCGGTGCTCTGCCTGCTTCGGTTGGAACCTCGTGGTGTCTGACGGGGAGAGGCAGAACAGGTCCGGAGGGGACTGTTTGCTCCGGAAAGAGGGTCCAGACACTCAGCACTTTGCTAGGAAAGGCACGTCCTCCTGGGACACTTTTCTGCTTCCAAAATTTGATTAAACTGTTGCTGGAAAAAGGCATCCAGATGTGTTGCTCCAACGAAAGACTCCTGGGAAAATTTCAAAAATCGTGTGTAAATATTGGCGCTGTTTCTGAATCTCTAGATTCAGAATAAGACAATTACTTAGGAGGGTTAAAATGAATGTTAACTACTGTAGCTATTGGTGTCAGTCAATTGCCATCCAGCAGGCTAAAGTGCGTAATAGAATTTACACATCACCACCTCAGGGTCCTCTCCTGCCCACCCACTCCCAAATACAACTGGTTCGTGATCGAGACTCTGCTCTTGGGGACGGGGAGATTTAAACTATTCTGGCTCTTTGCCCTAAGAAAAAGTACCTTATACATTGTTTACCAAGCTGTAGTGCTTTAAGAACACGATTTAAAAAGCAAAATAAACTTGGTTTACTTTTTTTTTTTTTTAAGAAAACGAAAAAGCACCTTAGTTCTGTTTGCTGTGTTCTATTTCTTGATCTGGATTCTGGTTCCACAGGAAATTTCATATTCTGCACTTAACACTGTGTATACTTTTATGTATGTTTGTTGTATTTCAACATATTTTTTAATTGCACTCTAGGATGTGGCAATTATAGTTCTTGGCATTTAACTGTCTGCATTGAAAACGAACTTTTAGGTTTCTTAAATCCTGGTTGTCTTTGTGTTCCAGTCTGGAATGTCAGCATTGCTAATAAATTTCTATCCAATCCCATCCACCTCTCTACCTTTAATTAAATGGTTAGAGATGTGACTCTCCCATACATTAGATCTTAAGGCACAATTCATACTTAAGGTAGTAAAAGCACTATATAAATATGAGGTATTTCAGATGATGACAGCTTTAATGGGTAATTAATTTAATTGGTATTTTTTTTCGTGGAAGTCATTGCTACAAAGGCTTTAATATGACTGTAGTTTTTGAATGATGCAGTTTAAATTGGTATTGTTAACACTAGGGAAGTCAGGTTAATCCTCTTAATGTTCCCTGTCAGATTACTGAAATCTCCTAACATTCCACTTGGTTTATAATTAAACAAGGGAACATTTCCTAATACTCTCAGATTTGTAAACACATGTCTATTATTTCATAATGTATTTTGACATGTTCTGAAGAGGAGATCTGAGGAGTTTTTTTCCACTTTAGAAAAGAGAGTTCACATGCCATAAAATTCACCCTTTTAAAGGGCACGTACAATTCAGTGGGTTTTAGTATATTCACCAGATTGTACAACCATCACTACCATCTAATTCCAGAACATGTTCATCACCCCAAAAAGAAACCCCATGCCCATTAGTAGTCACTCTCCATTTCCCCTCCCCCCATCCCCCAGCAACCACTAATGTACTTACTGTCTCTATTAATTTGCTTGTTCTGGACATTTTATATGAATGGATAATACAATATGTGGCCTTTGTGTCTGTCTTCTTTCACTTAGCATAATGTTTTCAAGGTTCATCCATGTTGTAGTATGTGTCAGTACTTCATTCCTTTTATATCTGAATAATATTGCATTGTATCAATGTATCACATTTTGTTTAATCATTCATCAGTGGTTGGACACTTGGGTTGTTTTTCCCTTTGGGATACTATGGATAATGTTACTATGAACATTTGTGTACAAGTTTTTGTGTGGCCATATGCTTTCAGTTCTCTTGGGTAAATTAGGTTTTTAAATTAAACTTTTTATCATATTTTAAAATTTTTATTATTTATTTATTTATTTTTTGAGACAGGGTTTCACCATGTTGGCCAGGCTAGTGTTGAATTTCTAGCCTGGACCTCAGGTGATCTGCCCACCTTGGACCCCAAAGTGCTGGGATTACAGGTGTAACTTTTTGTCATTTTAAGATAATAACGTATGCATATCATGTTATTTTTT